CCCCTGACCCCCCCTCTCGACAGGCCTGATTATGCACAATATTGGAGTGATTTTATATGTGTAACATAATACTGAGTATTGGTATGGCACCGCGTGCTATAGGGACATATTAATGCGGTAGATCTAGTATGTTTTATGTAAAAATATTGGCGTGATATTGTGTGTGTATTATGTTAAGTATTAGCAGAGCGTTCTGTGTTATTGATAGAACCTCTTTCTTCTCAACAATGGGTGGCCGTTTGTACAATTTCGACCGTATTTCAGTATATTATAATTCCCTTTCTCCTCTCTCCCATGTGCTCAGTTCTCTTTTGGACATTTTCGACTCATTTTCAGTACAGAATTTCTTTTCTCTTTTATCCTGGGTGTTCAATTCTCTTTTTTATAATTTCAACTGTATTTCAGTATAGAACTTCCCGTGTGTTCATTTCTCTTTTGGATAATTTCAGCTTATTTTCAGCACCGAATTTTTTTCTCTCCTTTCCTCTGTGTGCTCAGTTCCCTTCTGGACATCTCAGCGATTCGTCATGTCGGTCCTGGTGTTCGCGGGGCTGGCCTGTCACTCTGTACAGAGGGTGAACCTCAGTATTGCAATGGTTTGCATGGTTCGCGCGGACAACTTTACCACTGTGACGTCATCTCACAACAGCGGCGGCTCGGCTCACGTGACTAACGGCTCAACGACGACGATGACGGTGATGATGGGCGAGGGAGATTCTACGTCACAGTTCAAGTACGCCTTGAGTCCACAGGTGTATCAAGACCTTCCTTCAGTGGATGAGAATCTCACAGATAGGTAGCCTACCTTGTTGACCTTCGATGCTATTGTTGTTGTTGTTGTTGTTGCTGCTATTGCTACTTCTTTTGCTCTTGCTGCTGTTCAGATTAAAAAACAAACAAACAAGCAACAAACAACAGCATGCTGCTGCTGCTGCTGCTGCTGCTGCTGCTGCTGATGATGATGATGATATTGATGATGATAATGATGATGATGATGACGACTCTCTTGGTCAGAGTTTTGTCATACTCTAAAATAAAATAATAACACATTTGTTTTTTAATACCTCGATTCCTTGAACATGGCGTTAGCTCTGTTAGCTTCACACTAGGGCTATGTACAGGAGTGCTTGTTTTTGAGTTCCAAACTGAATATTCCTGAAAATGGCTTTTTTGCCAAGTTTTTTTTTAACTCTTCGTCCACGGTGCGCCAGTTCTGAGGGCGAACAAGCGTAATGTACATTTATGATGCCCTTGGAAATGTTTTAAATCTATATAATCAAACTGTTTGCTAATTTCATGGAGCATTCATTTTTACTCTGTTTTGGTGTTTGTTCTATGTAAATAGATTTAACAAGAACGGGAGCTTATGCATAGTTTGAGGGAG